AGGCAAAATAACCGGAGACACCAAATAAGATAGTGCTTAGTGCTGATTTCTTGGAAATAGCCATCTTCAGGAACACAGAACTGTAAAAGTTTGAACTATGTTGTCAGAAGTTGGTGTGAAAAAGCAGGGTGGGAGCACAGAGACTGAGTAACTGCGTCCTGTTGAGTTGCAGCCCTGACCTGTGGTCTCTGGGTACCATCCCTCAGCCCAAACACCACCCATCAAAAGAGGAAGGAAGGAATTGTGTCCTGCAGTGCAGGAGGGAGGGCACTGCAGCTGCTTCACCTGCCATCCGCTGTGCTGAGATCTGGAGTTTCTGCAGAGCCCATTTTGGGGTGTCCTTCCCTGGGACTTGCCAACACCCCTCCAACTCCTGCAGCTTGGAGAGCTTGGAGCTTTCTGAGGCAACTCATGAAGTTGGGGTGATTATCAGCTGCCTCATGGCTCCAGGTGTGTAGAAAATGGGATTTCTCCCATGTTAAAAACGAGCTGCTCACTGAAACACTGGTGACCAAAAGTTCAGGCAATGTCATGGGAGGAAGCCTTCTGGAAGAGCTGCTTAGGGAGAACATGTTGGGTTTTGTGGTTGTCAACTTATGAGTCTTCCATCTCTTGAGTCTTGACCTGGTGTCTAAAACAGGTGCTTCCTTGGTAGTGCAGGAGTTTGGAGGTGCCCTCCATGCCATCGGGGAGTTTGGAGATGCCCTTATCTCAGGATCATGCAGGTGGGGGACCCTCACAAAAGGAGGACTTCCAGCCTACCTGGATTCTATCACAGCTTCAATTCTTTGGAGTAAAAGTTTTCTTCCAGAAAATGTCAGTGTCATAAAAATTCAGTGCTGGAGCTGGAGGAGACAGTAGCAATGAAAACTGATGGATTGATCAGCTTCCATGTTAAACTGGGAGCTGTTCCAGCCACACTGGAACTGCGAGAAGGCTTGGGAAGACCATGTCTCTCAGACCTGCCAACGGAGTGTTGTGCAACTTATTCCCTCCAGTGGAAATTTAAATTCTACAGAAATTAGTTGCCTAGAGGCCTTTGCATCTTCAAGGAAGTCTTGCCTTAGTGGGTTTCTTTCCCATGCCTGATGAAGAGCATCAGTGAAGGAGGTATGTAACTGGTGAGAACCGAAGGGAGTGCCGTGTGGATTTGGCTTTGCAGGCAGGATCAGTGAGATCTTCCTCCCACTGTGGATGCTGAAGGTGATGCAATTCTTCCCCAGAGCATACCAACCCTGTGGGTTTTTTTGCATAGAGCAAACAGTAGCATGTGTGGCAAAAGTGGGGGACTTTGCATCTTTGATTTAAAATTGAAATAGCCATCAGGGGAAGTTGTGTGAGGGAGACTGTGGATCTCAGGCTGGAAGAAAAAAGGATGCCTTTAGGGATTCACAATGCAGTGGGAACTCCAGGTAGGGCAAGAGGACTGAAGAGGACCTCACCTCTCTTCTCACTCACGTTGAAGCTCCAAAATCTGACAGTGCTGATGTCCAAAGTGCTGCATGCTGGTCTTGGTTGAAGGAGTGGGAGATTTGGGAATGGGGTGCAGCCAAGACAACATGCAAAATAAACCCAGAACAGGCAGAAGGAAGCCCTAAGAGATACCTGTTGGTTTTCTGCAGCAGTTTTGGCCCTTGTCAGCATTACCAGAATGTACAGTGATCAGTGGAGGGCTTTATGCAAAGAAAAGGCAGCTGGTCAGGCTGACTTACTCGGGTCGCTGTGATCTCTGTTATAATTGTTCCCTATGTGATTATTTTGAGGGTTGAGCAACTGAGAGCTGCAGAAGAGACGTGCAGCTTTATTTCTGTGAGGTGTGAAATGTTCTGTGTTCATTTCAAAAACGTTCATTACTCTTTCTGTCTTAAAAAATAAAATAAAATTCCAGAAGTCTGCAGGAATTTTTGTGAAGTGTAACTTTAAATATTCACCTTTCCTTTTATCGCCCTTATCAGTGCATAGAGCTCGGTATGTGAGGCTTTTAGCTGACATTTCAAATCGCTCTGAGTGTGCCTGAATCCCTTTTAAAGCAGCCTCCCCTCCCAGATCAGAAGTGACCAGGTTTTTTTTTCTGTTAGACTCCATGTTCCTTTAATGTTTTCCTCCTAATAGATGTTGAAAGCGTTCTTCAGAGGCACGGCACAAAACATTCAAATAGTGATACGAGCCAGCTGAAGAGAGTTGTCAGGGAGAGGGAACATTAGGAGAAGGATTGAATACAGATGGATTCCTCAAAAGTAATGTAACCTGTTATGATTGCTTTGAAATCCTATACCCTTTCCATCTCCTTGTGCTTACCAAAAGTTTACATTTGCATTGATGTATTAGAGGCAGAGCTAAAATGGAAGTAATCCCTGTTGTATACACGCTTAAGTGTGTAATTTTAGCTAAATAAAACAGTTATGACCAAACCTACATCGTCAGTGGGAAGCCCACAGCCCTGGATTGCTGCAGGAGAGCCAATCCATCCTGACTCTTTTGGAGGGGCCAGGGACCACCCAGCACCCATCTGCTTGCTCTCAGTTCCTTCAGCCAGCCCACTTCCACACCCAGCAACCTCTTCAGATGCTTTCTGCTGTTCTCTCTCTGTATCAGCAGATACAAAGCAGAAATGGATTGAGCCGTGCATTTTATTCTCTGTACTGTAGTTCTTTCTTAATATACTGCTGCAATAATCCATGCCTCTTCCAGAGAGTCCTGACGGAAGGTCCACTAGAAGAAGTTGGTGCTGTATTTTAATTGGGTTGTCCAAAAAGCATCCTTCTCTTTGCCCGCAGGGAAGGCCTGAGCTATCCATCATTCCTGCCTCAATTTAAGAGGCTGTCTCAGCCTCCATCATGCAGCTGTCATGTCGGATTTGACAGGAGGGTTGCACTGCACAGCACTCCTTTAATGCTCAGAACTGACCGTTCTGCAGGGGGAGAGCTGGTGAAGGGGCCTGGTTGGGTTTTCACTTATTATACCTTGCTTTTTAGGTTGAACTTGTTCAAATTATTTCCAGTATTTGCCCTAGAAAGCCGTTCTGAAATCTGATGGAATATAGTAATAAGTTTGCTCCAGTGCACATTGGCAGTGACAGGCAGAAAGTTTGTGTGCTGGAAGTTCTGTGGTGACTCACCATCCCAAGGCAGCTGTAAACGTTCATCCCCAACTGACTCTGTATTGCACCCGAGCATGGACAAACCTCACAAGGCTTTCTTTTCCTCAAACAGCCATGAATGCTCTTTGCACCAGGCAGCTGTGCTGAGCTTCATCATCCAAGGAGAGACAGCTTGGAGTTTTGTTTGATTTGTGGCAAACAAAATACTAGTTTTCTCTTTGTGAGAATAGGAGAGTAATTTGTTTCTAACTGATCCCATAATGGACCTGAAACAATATGATTCTTCTTAGTGGCCAGTGAGCATCCATGACTCCTTGAATTACAAGGAAAATAGGTTGTGTGTCAAGGAGCCAAAGGGCAGGCGAATAGGAGCTGAGTGAGCAGTGTGTTGGCTGAAGGCTGTAGCCCTGTCCAGTTCAGGTTTTGAAATACTTTGGTATTGCTTCCCTCTTGCTACACTGTGTGCCACATTATACATCCAGCTTTCCAAAAACCTCCACCTTAAATGGGTTCTCCACCAGTCCCAGTTCATGTAGTGGCTGTCCTGCGTTTATACTCCGTACAAAGAGGCACAGACTGCCAGCTTTTCCCTTTGATGGTGTCTTCCTCACCTCTGGGCCTTCCATCTGTGCCTTTCTCATGGCTTTCCTTGCCTTATCTAAATGTAAACTCATAAGGGCAGGGGCTGTTTTCTGTTGTCTGTAGGACTTTGACCACTGCAGTTCAGCCAGAACCGCTGTTCACGGCAGAATGGGGAAGCACATGTTGCGTGATGTGCCCTCCATGGAGATGTTTACTCAGGGCCCATTGCAAACCACATCAACCAGGTGCCAGTTACTGAGTTACTAAATAAAAGATCATGCTGATGAGCTTTGTGATCTGAATTAAAACAGGACTCCGATTTTCAGAGCTTGGAAAACCCAGGAATTCATCAACTCTTAAGATACCTTACAAATACTGCTCTTCATGCAGAGGGGCAGGCAGGGAGAACAGGGGATTAAATGATGTTTGGTTGGTGTGAACATTCCAGCTTGTTCCTCCTTCTGGCAAATTGCAAAATGACTTGCAGTGGGAACAAGTTGCCTGCATGGCCTGTCAGTCCTGCAGGGTAGCAGAGCTGGCAGAGTTGGCAGCAGTAGCTTTTCTATGCCAGTGGCAGTCAGTGTGAAGGAGTTCTTGCCTGCTTGGTTCACAGGCTGCTTCACCATCAATGCAGGTCTCCTCCTGAGCCAGGAACTGAGCAAGGCAGCCTCTCTTCCTGACATTTTGCTGAAGAGGAGTCTGGCCTGAATGTGTGCTTGAATAACAAGGTTGTGTACAAACTAACCTCTGTAGATCCGCGAGCAGATTGTCTGTTGGAAAAGTCATTGTGATTACATGGTCCTTCCTGATGGAATTTGCAAGTATGTGGTGTACCTGAATGTGAGACTGGAGGTCAGCTTTAGGTACTGTGTTGTGAGCAACAGCTTTTCCCTGCGTCACCTCCCTCCCTCAGCAAACGTGTTGGAGTAAAGAGGGATGTTAAAGTAAGCATGGAATGGGTGAGCTGTGCTACACATCCCTCCCTGTTGGAAGAGTCAAAGCCTGTTCTGACTGAGAAAAATGCTGTCTTATTACCTAGGTATTGCTTTTAGATACTCATGAATGACAATGCTGAGCAGCTAGCCCATGTACACTGTAAATCGTGATGGAAACTGGAGTTCTTCCATGCAGTCTTGTTGCCTCCCTTCTTTATCTCTACCAGTATCATCTTCATTACGCTATGAATTCCCCTTTTCTTCCGTTATGAGTCAAATTTTTCATCGTTCTATCAGTGTAACTTAGTGTGAACACAGCCTGTTCTGTAGCCCGTCGCCGGCGCTGGTTGTGCCTTTCTGATGTGACTCTGGTTTTTTTGCAGGCATGGGTCGTGGAGAGAGCCTGTTAACCCTTACTATGTCAACACGGGCTACGCTTTGGCCCCGGCGACCAGTGCCAACGACAGCGAGCAGCAGAGCATGTCCAGCGACGCCGACACCATGTCGCTGACAGACAGCAGCGTGTGAGTACCTCCAGCCTGCTGGGACAGGGGCATGTTTGTGTCTTCAGCAGTGGTGCTGCTGTTGTGTTGGTCTGGGAGAGGCCTTGCCATAGCTGGGGTTCAGGGGACTGTCTGAACAGACCACGGACGTGACCATTCTCACTTCTTCTTCAGCTGTTTTGTCGCTGTGGAGGCTGCAACACAAAATGCTCGGAGTGAACTAAAATAAATGATGCTCGGTGGGAGTTTCTGCAATGTTTCTTGCCAGGTGCAAGAAGAATTGGCTTTGTAGTAAGTGATTTGAGCTACGGTGTCTTCTGAATGTCAGACAGAGCTTTCTAATTGCCTGGGTACTTCTCTTGAGGTTTTATGCTGCCAAACTCACAGAATCAGAGAATGGGTAAGGTTGGAAGAGACCACAATGGGTCAACCTCCCTGCTCAAGCAGGGTCATTCCAGAGCACATGGCACCAGATTGTGTCCAGACAGCTCTTGAATATCTCCAGTGAGGAGACTCCACACCCTCTCTGGACAATCTGTTCCAGTGCTTGGTCACCCACACGGTACAGAAGTTCTTCCTCATATTCAAGTGGAACTTCTGTGCATCATCTTCTGCCCATTGCCTCTTGTCCTGTTGCTCAGCACCACAGAGCAGAGCCTGGTCTACCCTCCGACACCTCCCTGCAGACACTGACAGACATGGATGAGGTCCCCTCTCAGTGTCTCTTCTCAAGGCTGAGCAGCCTCAGCTTTTCCTCACGAGAGAGATGCTCCAGTCCCTTCATCATCTTTGTTGTCCTCCACTGGACTGGCTCCAGGAGCTCCACATCTCCAGAGACCAGAACTGGACACAGATTGACTGGACTCCAGATGGAGTAACTCTGCTCAGTCTGCAATTGCTCTTCAGTAGGATTGGTGACTGACCAGTTCTAGTTTGTCTGGTGACCACTGTGCTTTAACACAACTTGTGCCAATAAGCCCCAGACAAATCTTTTCTGCTTTTTTCTCTTTCTGCCCCTCATGACAGCACTCTGGATCTCACCCACAAGACACCTGCCTTAAGGGTGGTCTGCAAAGGGAGAAAAAAGGGGTTTTGAGATTTCATTGCGACTGCATCTCTGTGATAGAAAAAAAAAGGATTTGGGGGAAAATATTCGCTGTTTGGTCTGTTTTTTAGTAGTGCAAATGCAAAGTGTCTTTCTGTAGAGTAGAAACCCTTTGATTCTTCAGGCGAAAGATGACAGGTTTACAGAATTAGGAGAGGGTTTTATTAATGGCAGTGCTGTAAACACAGAGTCCTCCAAGAGGCTCGTTTAGTGTCACTGTGAATGTCAGGAGCTGTCAGACCTTGTTGGAGAAACTTTCCAGCCTGTGCCACAGAAGTTGTTAATGGGTGTTGCAACAGTTCCCCACCTGCCCTCAGTTCATACCGTGGGACGGTGGTGAGGGGGTTTCTGTGTCTGGGGTGGTGAGTCAGGAATGTCTGTTTTTTCTCTGGCTCCACGGAGGCTTGGGACCGTGTAGGAGCAGCTGTGAGTCCATTCTGCACCCTGACACCAGCCCCTCGCTCCTTATCCATGTCATGCTGCAAAATGGAGGAGGCAGACCTTGTCCAAAGGGGCCTGGGAAGAGGAGGATGCCCCCAGGACAGAACACTGTAGAGGGCCACTAATTAAAGGCTCCATTTGATACGAATCCAGCTGCTCTGTCACATCGTTCTGCAATTCTTCATATTCATCAATTTATATGGAGGAGTGCTCTGAAACTATCAGGGGTCTTGTAACTTCTTGCTATCAGGAGAGACAGATGTAAGAACTCTTCAAAATTAATTAGCTTTTAGCACTTCCTTTCCCACTTGTCCAGCAGGCTCATGGGGCTGCTCTGATGGTTATACCTGCGATAAGTTGTGATCATTTATGCCAGAGTTCTTCACTCTCCTAATTTTTATTTCAGTAGCCATAGTTTGTTTCTTTTACAGGCAGAATAATTTCTGATTGGCCATCCTATGCTCCTTTTTCCTTTAGGCATTTTATTCCTCCTATGCCCTCCATAGTCTGCTTCTAGGACTTTAATTACCACCACTACACGTGCTGCCTTCTGCTACTAATTAACCCAGTCTTAATGGTTCATTTTAAGTAACACCACAAGGGTAAACCTGTGATCTTTCTTTCGATGCATCTCAGACTGGATGCTTGCAGGATGATCCCCAAATTGGGATTCTGGATGTACAGCCTTGACCTTTGGCTTACAAAGGCTCTGCCTGTTTTCAGAGCACTTGCTCTTCATTACATGCTTTAAAACTCCAGCACCAGATTTTATTCGGTTCTTACATGGCATTGCTGAACCTATCTGCCTCCTGAGTTTCAAAGGAATTTTTGCAGAACTGCTCAAGGCAGCAAAAATGAAGAACAACCAGATGAAGTTAAAGAAGGGACTCCTGCTGCTTGACAAGACTTACATGTCTCCGTGCTTTGAATTTAGGCCTCCTCTGAGGAAAATGGCAATAAAAGCCTCGTTTGCTGATGAGTGAGGTTCTTCCCTCTGTGTGCTGTTTACATGCAGCAGTCATGCTAATAGTGAAGAAATCTGGCTTGTGCTCCAAGGCAGCACGTGAGTGGGGTGTGATCCCAAGGCAAAGACCTGAGTGATGCTCTGCCTGTCTGGGCTCCTGAGCTGGGGCGAAGGGAGGCAGGCACAGACTTTTTGGGAGTACACAGCCCACCAAAGGGGTTGTAAAGCTGTGATACCAGCTACAAACCTGAAAGACCAGCTTTCAACAGCATGTCTTTCTGGAAAATATTATTGGAATGGGTTGAATTTATATAAGGAATGTGTTATCAGTCCCCGTCGGAGTACTTTGCTTTTTGAGTGGCTTAAAAAACATTGCTCTTAAACGCCTGCGTTCCGCTGATTATTTCTCAGTCTTCCTGTGTCATAGGAATTCCTCTGCCCTGGCAGGCAAAACAGCTCCAGTCCTCTCTGCTGAAACCTGTTTTTACAATCGGCAGGGCAGCTGTGTTGTTTTAGCTGGTCTGTGTGGAGGCAAGGTCTGGGGAGGACACGGCGAGAGGCTCCAGCGAGCTCTGGCCCGGCAGGTGGAGGGTCTTTGGGGCTCTGCCTCCCCCTGGGCTGCTCAGAGCCTGCCCCAGTCTTGCAGCAGCATTTCCAGCACAGTCCTAAACTGCTCTTGCTGTCTCAGGTAACCCTGCATGGGGATAGCATCTTTCCCAAGTGGAGGAGGCAGCAGCCTGTGGGTAGAAGGGGATGTCACAACAGAGATGCTTGAGGCAAATTAAGGCAACTCTAGGTAGGAAGGCAACAGGAAGCAGCTGAAATGCATTAAATTGCCATATGATGTTCCAATTCAGATGCAGAAATGCCTTAGATCCATATCTATCTTGATTTCTGCAAGACCTTACAGTGGTAAACAGGAGGTAATATCTCCTCTTTAGCCCTTTGTTGTGCTCCAGCTAAACAATACTCCTTCCTCTGGGTCTTATCATGTGTCCTGGCTTATCTTGGTTGGGAGACAGCTTTGCCTTCCCCCAGGGCACTTGGGAAGCCCTTAGTGCCTATGGGCTTGGCCAGAGGGATGCTCCTTCCCCACTTCCAGTCAAACCTGCTCCAGAGTGGTGGAGATGGCCATTCCCCAGAGCAAAGGGGTTTAGGACAGTAGTTATTCCTTCAAAAGCCTTGTAAATTAACTGTTATTCCTTGGATGACTGGCTTTTGGCCAAAATGCTTGGTGATTTTCCCATGGGGCTGCTTTTATGTGAGAAAGGTCTCTCTGTGACTGGAGGTGCTTTGGTAAGAGTAGTTGGTAGAAAATACCAGTTTCACTGTGGATTTGTTTCCTGTCTGTCCTGTGGCCAGTGGTCCAGAATTAAGCTGAGTTCTGCTGTATTTTAACAAGTTTAACAGCTTTTTAATTTAAAAGATCCCAAACAATGATTTCCAATGTTAGGTGTAATGGTTGGGTTTGGAGGGTGTCTACAGAGGAGCAAAGGCAGCTCTTTTCCTTAGAAGAGTCCAGCTGCAGAGCCACAGCCAGACTTCCCTGCTCACCAGAGGCTCTTGCCAGATCAGTTTGGAGAGGGGAGGAAGCCTCCACATTTCCCCAACAGCAAACCAATTGCATTATCATTAAGTAAAGGATAGAAATACTCTTCTTCCCCCCTTGCACTTCAGCACTGAGTTTTCTGGTGCTAAAGAAAATCACGTGGTGAAACAAGGAAAAACAGTTTGAGAAAGTTTTATTTTAAAAGTAGATGTGCTCTAAAAAAGTTTTGATTTTTATATATATATATATATATTATTTCTCTCTATCTATTGAAAATATCTCAAAGCAAGCTACCTGACAAAAGGAAAACAAAAGTACGGTATTGGTTTTCCTTGCTTTCCCCCCATCTATTGAATACGGTTTTGTTGGGATAAAATTAAAGTGCTTATCTTTGAATTTGCTTCCTCTGGTTGAGTTGGCACAGTACATTGAACGAAGGAATGTTCCAAGTTCAGAGGTGGCATTGGGGAATCTAGTTAAAATGACATCAAAGGCAGCACAGCGGGGCTGAACATGTGTTTGAAGCCGGATAGATTAGAGGCCATTATCAGCCTTTCGCTACTGTGCTGGGAACAAAAGTCGCTCTTTCCGCTGGGACTGCTGCTGGGGAGAATTAAAAAAAAAAAGGGAGAGAGAGAAAGAAAGAAAAATTGCACTTTCTAACATAATGCCGCTTTCCCCGCGAATGGCCGCGCGGCTTTAGCGTGCGAGTTGTGTTCTGGCGCCCGGGTTTTGTGCAGTGGTTAAGCTGAAATGTTGTCTATTGATGCCGACCAGCGATGGCTAAAATAATCCCCCTGGCTTTTGTTTCTCCTCTAAAAACTGCCAGTTGTTTTGTTGCCATTAATCCAGAAAGAGCCCCTTCGCGATGCGGTGAAACTCTGTAACCGTTGTGAGTCTTAAGTTCAGATGGAGCTTTGTCATTAAAGAAAATGAGGCCTGATGAACACTGCAGTAACCCCTGTTGGTGCAGTAACCCCTGTTGGTACAGCAGCGTGTGGGGAAATTGCCCTGCTCCTGAGCCGTGTCACTGGGCACAGGGAAGGTGGTGCTCCCAACATGCTCTTCCTCCTCTCGCATTACCTGCAGCCACTCTCCAGAGCTGTAATTAGCCTGGCTCATTTTCTGTTCTCTCATTTGTCTTCCTACTAAAAAGCAGTTGTCATTAATCACGGGTTTTATTTTGTTTTAATGGCGTTTCATTTTGAATGCCTGGGTTGCTGCATGAAAATATATTCTGCTCATGTAATTTGGTGGCGACTCTGCCCGCACCAACATTTCCAGGGAGCCAGCACGATGGGAATGGGAATGAGAGCTGATGGTGGCCATCCTCACACAGGCTGCTGCTTGAAACTCAGTAGGTTTGCAGGCAAAACACCGCAGTAGATTGTCTTTCTCTTGCCAAATGGCATCTTGACTTTAAAAATGTGCTGGTGAAACTGTTTGAGTTTTTTTGAGAAGCAGCTGGGCAGGGGGGTAGGTGCTAAGGACATTTGGCTTTTTCAAATATCTAGTTCTTGTGAGATGTGTGGGGACTGGCTGGTTTGCACAGCTCAGAGGGGTGCAGGGTTGGCAGGAGACAATGCCTGTACATGGAAGTTATTTGGTACGTGGGATTTACCAAATCCCTCCATTCGTTTCCACCCACTCCTGTGGCACTACACTGCCATTTCAGGCAGTTTCTTCTGCTAAATCAGAGATATGAAAAATAAAAAAGGAAAGCTCCAAATTGCCAAGCTCCAGGCTGGCATTTGGGTTTGCATTTGTTGATTTTTCCCCAAATAACCCAATGTCACCAAGGATGGGTCTTGTGTCCTCTCATAACTGGGGTCCACTCACATTTTTGTCCCAGGCTGTGAGCAGAGTGGTGTCAATGGTGAGAACAAAAATGTGTTTCTTTCCTTTGCCTGAAATCACACTCATCCAGTGATGCTTTGCCTTTTGGGGTGCTTAGCAAAGCCTGGTGCCTCCGACCCGCTGACACCCTGTTGCTGGGACCCATGTGTACCCAGGCTCATGGCAGAGCCATGGACCACACTCCCAGTCTGTCAGGACCGAGGATTGTGGCCAGCAGTGTCTCCTTCCCCTGCAGAGACCTCCCTCACCTGCTTTTTCAGCACAGGCACAAACCCACACAGAGGTGGTTCAGTTGGGCATCCCTTCCTAACCTTGTCCAGCCTCCTCTGGGGAGAGGGCTGGGTTCTTCCCCGCAGTAACTTCAGTATCAAGCCCATAATTTCAGACTGAGCTAGAGCTTGCCTTGGGAGCAGTGGAGCCTACCCTTTTGCTTTGATAAGCCATTTGAGAAGCTGTCACGCTCTCTTAAAAATATATACCTTGTTCCCTGACCAAGTTCCCCTTGGAGTAGATGCTCACTGAGCTCCCACTCCTCCTTCTCCCCCCTCTCCTAGCCTGCCCTGTGGTTTAATGTGTACATTACAGGCTCTTTATAGAAAGCAACCAACTATAAAAGGTACCAGGATGCAGTCCAAGTCCTTCTCCCTGCCCTCTGCCTTGGGCAGCAGTTGCAGGAGTTCTGCCTTGCTCTGCTCCTGGTGGATGCCGTGTAAGTGCCCCCGGCCCCCAGGGCCAGAGTGTCATTGGTGTGGGCACCTGGACAAGCATCGTTCCCCACACAGATTCCTCTTGCTCTGGGCATGCAAAGCCTTCCTCAAACATAAAGGGGTTTCCTACCTGCCACTCTGTGTCAGCGAGGTGTGAGTGACAGAAATGTGTTGGAGAAAGGCACTGAAGCAGGGCCTGTTGTTGTTTTGTTCTGGCAGAGATGGGATCCCACCGTACAGACTCCGAAAGCAGCATCGCAGAGAGATGCAAGAAAGTGCCAAAGCAAATGGACGCGTGCCACTACCTCACATTCCTGTAAGTAGCACTATCTCCTTCCCAGAGGTAAATATGCAAAATATGTGAGATCTGGAGTGGGCAGTTGCTCTGCTTGTGCTGGAGTTTAACCCCCTTTAGCACTGTATTAATTTTAAGGTGGATAAACAACGTGGTAAGAAAGGACTTTGGGAGCCTTCTGCCAAACTCACCACGCAGGGCTGCCCAAAACGCAGCCTTTTTCTTCACCATTCAGGCAGTAGCTGGCTGGTTCTCCTGGATGAGAATGGCAGCACTGGCTGGCATTTACCTGCAAGCAGGGTACGTGCCCTTGGGTGAACTGGAGGTGTTTGTGGAAGGTGTAGGAGGCTGTTGGCCATGGAGGCTGATGTAGGTCTCAGCCAAGGTCAGCTGGGGAGAAATGCAACAGTCCCCGGCAGTATTTCTGCCCTGAGCAGCCAAAGGGAGCTGTAACCTGTTCTCAAGGACTCAGGAAAGCTCACCTGGGGTTACAAGGCAGGAGAGCAAAGAAGGTGCAGGCCTAAGTATCTCATTTGTCTGACACTTGGTTGCTCCAGGTAAGCAAACAGCTTTTGGAAGATGAGCACGACTGCCAGGGCTCTGCATCCCCATCTGCGGCTCTGCTTGTTACTGTTTTCTTTTTGTGGGAAGTTACAGGTGACATTTAATATCTAGTAGGGAATAGAGGTGCTTCTTTCCCCTTTGGACAGCTGGACTCCAGCACAAATCAAATAGGGAGAAAAAAAGCCTCCATCTGCTTTTTCCAGAAGTGCCTTCAAACTTGACGCAGCTGTTCTCATCCTGCCTGCTCAAAGCAGCACAATGCCAGCAGAAATACACCCTTGTTTTAATCTGATTTAAAAAAAAAAAACCACCACACCAAAACCACCACTCTTTGTTTTGCCTTTTAAATTAGATTATTTTCCTTAGATTTAAGAGGGTCTCCTGTGCTTTGATCACTGGGTTGACAATAAAAGCCCTGGCTGTGGACGCTCATAGCCATCCTTGCTCAGTCACCTCTCTTTTCACACAGTTGCTTTCACAGTGTGGTTGCTGTTGAAAAGGCTGGCTGGGTGCCTTTTTATTTCACTTGATGCCATTTTTACTGTAAGCATGGCTTTGTTAGAGTTGAAGTTTGAAAGCTTGGCCTTTATTTTTTGTTGTTATTGTTGTTGCTGTTCCCCAACAGTGGGAACTACTGAGTGAATATTCTCCGACTTCAAAGCTTGTCAGTGGCTTTACCTTTTGGATAAAAATAATAGTGGCTTTCTGTTGATGGTGTGCACTGGCAATGCCTCGATGAACTGCAGGTTATAAACTCAGAGTTTGGAGCATTAAATATGTATAGTGAGCTCTGCTTTAACGAACTTCCATCTGCCAAACATTTCTTTTGTTGAACTGAATAAGTGTCATTCCAGCAGCAGTTCCTTGCAGGCTAATTAGTTTTACTTAGCATTAAATTTTATCGACCTTTTTGGAAACCAGTTTAAAAAGGGAGGGGGGGGAAACAAGGTTTAAATTGGCCACCTGCTGCTTATAAATTTTCATATTATCCTATTTACCTACACACTCTTTTAGAATTACATATTCTTCCTAAACTACACACAGATGCTTCAACAAGGATTTTTCTGTGAAACATCCACTGTTCCCATTAGGTTCTGCACTGTAATTTTAAGTCCCAGGGAAAAAGGCATCTTGACACATATTTATATGGGAGCAGAGGACTGAGAAGTCGAGTTAGTTCTAGTCTTTCTCCAGGGAATAAAAGTTTACTTCAGACACTCTGGCACCTCCTGCCAGCCAATTACTGACACAGAATTGGCATCGACTTCAGAGAGGCACTGCTCTGCCCTTGCTTATCAATCAGCCAAGAAAGGAGAAGGTAATTAGACAATGTGTTTTGACAACACCAGTGTGAAATGTTATAAAGTTACTCTTTAAAATTCACCTCTAACTACAGGCTGATTGAATTAAAGGGCCCCAATTAGCAAGGAGCCATGCAAATGTTCCTTCAAGTGTTGCTTTCCGAAGCCGGTGGTTGGGCTGTCTCACAGCCCATGGCTAAAGCAGGCTGGACCCGGGGCTTAACTGCTTTTTAACGTGTGGCAGTGACGAAATCACAACCTTTGAGTGAAGGTCTTTATGGACTCCTATCTACCCAGTGTAGGCAGAGTCCATGCTGATAGTGCCTGCAGAATGCACGGCATGTTTTCCTACTGATAGTAGAGAACCTCCTACTTCCGAAAGTCATTTCAGGAGTCCTTACTGTTCCCTGACAAATGAGTTACGGGGCTATTATGCAAAATTCTGAAAGGACTTCTCTTGCTTTTAATAGCAGCCCTTGTAGTGAGGTCCAGCAGCTATAAACTGCAGTGATTACATGTTCATAGGAGACTGCTCACCAGTTCCAGCAGCCGTGCTGCCTCCAAGTAACAACAGCATGTGCTGGGTATGTAGGATGCCCTGCTCTGCAGCAGTTGTGTGAATGGCTGTGATCTGCATCTTCCACGCTTACCAGCTCACATCTTCCACACTTACCAACTCACCAGTGCTCTAAGTTTGGAAAAGTTGTGTTCTGTGAAGTGGCTCTCTGCCCAGGAATGCAGTGGGTGCCTGTTTTGTGCCTCTGGCAGGAACCCATTACGCAGTGAGTGAGTGTTGCTTTCATGTGGTTTTCCATCTCTTGGATTTAAGCAGAGTCTTGGAGCACCAAGGAAGGAAAGAGCAAGCAAATTCTCAAAGGGAGAAAGCCCAGAGAATGTAGAGCTGTACCTGTAAATACCCTGTATTTACCCCGCCTCTGGCATTCATCCATTCCCAGGAGAGGATGGGAGATCCTCCTTTTCCACAGCAAACTCAGAAAATCCATCCTCAAGCTTTAAGACTTGGGATTTGGTTGGTTTAACTGCAAGAAGAAGCCATTTTGTGATGCTGTTGCTGTAGCTTGATCATTGGGTGGGAGCTCTACTGTCCTGCCCCACAATCAAGGATCCTGCAAGGTGGCTTCTGTAGTGTTCTTGAGAAGGTTGTGAGTGACCACTCTGCTGTGCTGCACAAGTGGGGAGCGCACAGGAGGAGCCTGGTCTCGTGCTGCCTGGATAACTACAGCTAAATGAGATTTCTGCTCCTGCGAGTTGGGAACCTGCTTGGAATTCTCACTGGCTGTTTTATGCCATTTCCCTCAAATGCCTTGCAGCAGTGGGACTCCTTGCTAATCCCTGAATGCTGCTAAAGTGGATGCTGAAATCCAGGTAACCATGAGCTCTGCCACAAGTGTTTCTGGTATGGGAACACCATTTATCCGTTAAAAACTTACATCACAGAGGAATGTATCAATCTAAGAGATAAGGAGGTTCAGAAGTTCTTTGCTTGTGTCTTCTCTACCCTGCTGTCTTTTCATTTCCAAGACTGACTTGTGATCTAACATCAGCCCCTCAGGCATCATGGAGGTATCAAACCTCCTGTAGAAGAGGGAGATTTACCAGCACAGAATTCCTCAACCTGTTCAGATCTGTGAGAAATGGTTCAGTCCAACCTGTGGATCCTGGGGGTGGTGAGGGACCTCTACCCAATATAATTTTGGAAGTCTGCCTGTTCTATCTCAGAGCAGTTGAGGTTGACTCTTCCCGAAGGGAACCTGCAAACCGCAGTGAGATTCTTCCCTTTCAGCCTTTTCACACAGAGATCATGGCAGAACCACACATTTTGGGTGCCGGTGTGTTCTGATGTGCAACTTGGTCCTCAAACCTCAGTTTCTCAGGGAGGGTGAAATCCATCAAAACCCAGACCTGCACCTACCTCATGGAGCAAAATCCATGCAATTCCCACTCCATCAGCTCCAAGAAAAGAAGGAGAAAATGTGAGAGCTAAGTGGAACTACTGGAGACCTGGGGTCTCTCACATGTTCTTAACAGGCTACTTCTTCCCTAAGGTACCAGAGCTTCAGGCACTTCATGTGCCAAGGACATTATTCTGGTGATAGGTACCCCAAGAACTCCTTCTTCAGAGCTGTCACGAGGAAAGATTGCTCCATCCAGACCAGTTCAAGCAATTTGTTTTTTGGCAGTCCACCTGGCATTCAGCCTCCCATCTGTTGTCCTGTGCAGCCTCCCCATCTCAGTGTGGTTTGGTTCTGGACAGTGGCATTAAATAGAAGTAGGTAGGTCATTAAATAAAACAATAGGGAAAACAGCTGTAAATAAGCAGTTCTTTAAAACAGAGTATTTCCTTTCTGAATTGTTGATTCAGAATGTCCAGAGATCTCATTCTGGTACAGACTGGAGGGCTTGATCCTCCTAAACCTTGCTGCATCCTTGACTTGGAACAAAAGCATTTGGAGCCCTTCTGATTTCAGAAGAATAAACAGCCTATTTACGACTCCCTTGGCAGGACTCTGTATGCCCATGGGAATCTGGAGGCAGGTTCAAAATCCTGAAGCCCTGAAGGATCCTGCTCTGGGCACATGCTCAGCCTGGCTGGTTGTTGATGGAGCGTGTCTCCCATGTCTCCCTTCTGAAGTCAGGCCTGTCTTTTGATAAAAGTTTCAAGCACTTCGTTGTCTTTTTGAACCAGGTCAGTGCAATCCATATTTGCTGTCCAGGGAGACAGAGAGAGCGCTCAGCAATTTTCTGTATTGTTTCAGTGCAGGTAATTTGCATCCATTATTCTGCAATACTGTTAGTTTTGGGGAAGTCTCTGTGGCTCATCCTTAGAGCTTCCTGCTTCCCAGCTCTCTGAGCCACCCTTAAGGGTACCCACCAGGACAATGTAGGGCACATACAACTGGTATCCGTGGGGTGAAGTGAGGTTCATTCCAGCTGCACTGAACTTGGGTGCTCAGGGAGACCCTTGCAGAGATGGCTGCACAGAGGGGGCTGCATTTGCACCCTCCAACAAGCTGCTGAGGCCCTCTCCAAGCTGTTGTGCTGAGTGGGAAGCTCCAAGGACAGGGCAGTGGGTTTTGCAGGTGCAGCAGCTTTTTTGAAGACAGAGGGAAATTAGTTTATCCTAAAGATTCTTGGGTTCGATTATTGTAATTTCTGTAGTTGAGCTTCAGTCATCTCCAGCCTTTGAGAGCCTGTGGATAAAAATGCTGAGGTATTTGTTGTAAAAGACCAGAATCATCTCATCTTGAGTTCCCTGGATACAGCAGTGATTCCAGATGTCTTCAGATCCTCGTCAGAGACAGAGCTGTGGTCCTTAAGCATTGCTGGGCCTGCAGGGAAGCATCTTCCTGTGACAGGACTTGCATACTCAGGTTTCCAAACAACCTTTGCACCCACTCTTGCCGGAGGCTCAGGAGAGACTTTGGTTTGGGATGCTGCATTGCATCAGGGGCAATGAAATTAAAGAGGAATCCTTTCCCAGTTGTGCCTCTCTGTGGTAGCTGCAACAGGGAGACCTGAGACTGTAACTGCTGAGCTCCGAGCTGCCTCTCATTAGGCTCATTAAGTGTCTAACGGAGCAGGGCTTGGTGCTGCTGTCGTATAAACAACCGCAGGGAGAGTTGGCATGTCTGAGGTGGCAGGAGGGAAGGAGCACGTCACCCCACAGGCTGTGACTTGTCAGGCAAGAGAGGGATTTCCCTCCTTGGGAACTGCTGGTGCAGCCTCACGAGGTGGATGGAGGTGGTCATGGGTTTGGGGTTTCTGAAGAAAGCAGCTCCCTTAGCCCAAAGTGCTCCCCAGGCTGTACCGGGGAACAGAGAGAGATCACTTGGATCCTGGAAGCTCCTCAGGGAGCAACAGAGCAGGAACCAGCTCTGCCACATCTTCCCCCGTGCTGGGCCACGTCTGGGGCCCATTTCTGGACAACACAAAGATGAAGGGTGCTGCTTCAGCCCCTGTGCCAGCATTTCAAGGCTAAACATTTTTGTTGGTGAAAATCTTCATCTGCGATTTTGGGGGCTTTTTTTAATTTGATTTGCAGGACTGGAGGTCCTGGTGGCAGCAAAGATGTCATCCCAGGGTGGGAGCCACCTGGTAGCTCACACGTGCTGTGCCCTCTCCAGTGGCTCCATACATGGATGAAGGGATGGCTGGTGGAGGCTGCTCCCAGCTCAGATGGGTCACTGGGATTGAGATTTGCTGGGCAGGGTCAGGAAGACCAATTCCTCTTGGCAAACAAAACAAGCAGTGCTTTAATTGGGACCTCTGCAACCCAGCTGGGGTGTCATGAAAGATGCCTTCAGCTCCTTGGTGCCATCAGTGGGTACTTACTGCTGCTGGTTTTCTTCCCTGCCTTCCACTCAGCCGCTGGCAGAGACAGCAAAGCCAAGACGATTTGCATACTTCTGTCAGGTTTTGAGGCAAAGCAGTATTTTAGTCTTTTGCTTTGATCTTTTGGCTGGTCTGGGATAAATTCGGGTGGTCTCTCATCCTCCTCTAAAGTTTTCAAGCTCCGTGTCTGCTTCTGATACTGCATTTGTTCTTTTGCTGTGAATTATGTCTTCACATTTAGTTTTATCTCTGGTCCTATAGAGTGTATATTTCTCTCATGTTGGTATTGAAACATTTGAATGCAGGGTTTTGTGCTGCTGAATTTTCCAACTATTTTTCCTCCAAATTAAATTTTTATCTCTGCTGTGTCATTTCATTGTTTCTAATATTTTAACAAAATAGTGCAGAAGGGATGAAAATGAGGGGGGAAATACAGCAGCTGATAGCTTCATACTTCACAAACTTCTTATCCCAGAGCTCAGGAATTTCAGGACGAAGTAACTCAGCATAAGGAATCGAAAATGCCCTTGAACTGCTATAAATATTCATTTATTCACCCAGAGCAAGCAATAAAATGGCATCTGTGCTTGTAATGGTGCTGTATTGATAAAGCCAGCAGGGAATTGTTGCATGGCTCTGAAGAGCTGAGATGCAATCCTGCAGGATCCTCCAGGAGGAGAGGATGCTTTGTGGGAATAGGGGCTGTTTGGCAGAGGTTGACTGGCATACACTGATCCTCCTGGGAGAAGCTGAGTAAGTGTGCACCAGAGTCCTCCTTCCTATCCAAGTGAAAGCATAACTGCTATGAACAGGATTTTTGAGTGGTTGAGAGGTCTGTACATCTTTTTCCCACCCTTTGAGACCAGGATATTCCTGTTGACCCTGTGTGCATTGGAAGAAAACCAAGCACATCCATCCCTAAGTGGAATTTGGTGCCAAAAAAACTTGTTGAATTGTGGCTCCAGAAAACCTTTCCCTTACATGGGGAGGTGTGTGGAGCTGGTGCCAGCCAGGGAGCTCGTGGAGGTGGCTCAGATTCCAGCCCCCAGGTCCTGGGCTGCACCTCAGTGCCTGCCAGCCTGTCCTCCCTCCACTCCCCACCGGAACGACCGGCATTTCCAGTTATCAAAGCCTTCCAAATAAACGTGTGATTTTTCAGGCATCTTGTGCTAACCCCTGGTGTGCTCTCCCTGCAGCGTACGTACCGAATGCCAAAGGATATCCACGTGGAACCAGAGAAGTTTGCTGCAGAACTGATCAATCGTCTGGAGGAAGTACAGAAGGAACGTGAAGCAGAGGAGAAATTAGAGGAGCGCCTGAAACGCGTTCGAGCGGTCAGTAACCTTCCTGCCTCCTCTGCCAACCTGGGAGGCTACTTTGTACCAAGGGAGCTTTCAGCTGCTGTGAAAGCAACTGGAGTGACCAGTTCCCTGCTCCACTGCCACGGTCAGCACTTGCACGGGGCTCTTGGAGGCTCTTGTTGCCCCAGGAGCTTTCATGGTGCTGTCCCTCTGTCCATGCAGGGCTCTGTGAGCTCCAGTGCTCCCTCCCTGTGTAAGATACAGTCATGGCACAGCAGTGCCCACTTCTGCCATAAGTTAGGGGCTATGGATGCTCTCCATCACCTTCTTTGGCACCCTGACTCTCCTGACTTTGTGAGCAGTCCCTCCCATGCTAGGATGGGGACTGTGTAGCAGGGGTTCACCTTTCCCTGGGAGGTCTTGTATGATCCCTATTTCCTCCACAAATGGTAACCAGAGGGCAGGTGAATGTTGTGCTTGGAGGTGTTTGTGTCTGCTATCAGGCTGTTTCTTCCACAACCAAAAGGGTTCTGCCTCTCAGTGTCTAACACATCCCTAGAAAACTTGGAATTGATCCGATGTGTCTCCTGGGTAGAGAAACCCATTGACTGCACAGGGGTGGCTGGGGATACCCAGCCAGTGGCACTGAGTGCTGTGAGCTCTGGTACTTCTGGGGCCCTTCAGAGCTTGAGGACTTGTTAGGTGAACCATGGGAAGTGTTCAAGGCCTTAAGCTCCACAACAAGCTCCAAAAGGTGAAGAGTGAGGTGCTGGTCATGTGGTATTACCTGTGCAAGACCCCTGTTCAGCAGTATTCACACCGTATTTTTTCTTCTGAGTCACTCCATCTTGTGCTGGGGATTACAGGAGAGATTTCAGAGGACGCTGTGATGTTACTGAATGTCACTGGTGTCAGTGTAACTGCAGCCCTGTGTGATGAAATTGTGGGTCTCTGCAGTTAATAGCTGCCATGGCCCTGAGGCAAAGGTTCTGTGCTCAGTAACCTGCAGCTCTTCCTTAAAGCAGAGGTGTTGGTGCCTGGCTCGGTTGGCTCTGTGCTTTCAGGGAAGTTGAGCCCCTGGGACTTCAGGAAAGAACCTTCAGCCCCATTGGAGTATGTTAAAATGTTCATCTAGTAGCTCTTTAAACAGAAAAGAGCTGTAGGTTGTGGTGTTCGCTTTAAATCCCATCTGCATTTCAAATGCAGAGAACTGAAGAAGGCAGAAGGATCTGTAAGGCCCCCTCCAGCTCCAGGCATCTCCCCATCCAACAAGCTCCCCATCCAGTAAGAACAGGCCACAGAGGTGCTGTTTTGTGATTAGATTCCTGTTCTTCTGGAATTGCACTATTGTCCTGTCTGGTGACTGTTGCTTTCTAGACAAAGCCAATGTAACCAGCAGCATTTTCTGCTAAGTCCTAGAGCTCTCTTTCTCTTCGTCCCATGGCTCTGTTGCAGCCCCCACCTGTACTGAACTACATTATTCCAGCCCTCTGCCTCCTTGAAGAAGCTGCCAGTAGCAATACCATAAAATCAGCAAATACCTATGTGCCAGAGAATATATTTAAGTCTGTTTAAACACATTTTCATGTGACTTAATCTATTTTTAAGCCCAGGACTCCCACTAATGCTATATATTAAACCTCTTTGCTGTCTCCAGAATGTATTTCATTGACTGGCTGGCATCTGGCATTAGCCATTCAGGAAAAACTCTGAGTAAGCAATTGTAGCTTTTTTAGGTCAGCACTTAAGGTACAGGAGCTGCTGGTATCAGCAAGAGGGAGAGTTGGAATCCTGATAGATCACGGGGCTTTTTTCTATGACCTGAACACCAGAATACCGGGTAACCTCTTCGTGGGTCTGCATGGCTCACTGCACAGCAGCACAGGGAAAACCACGAGTGTTAGTCACACCAGGTAGTTATCAGCTTAGCAGAGAGGCTGGAAATATTTTGCAAAAGCTAGGAAGAAAGAATTTTTCTCCTCCATACTGAGCTGCCTGCAGGTTCCCTTTCAAAGCCACATCATGCAGTAACATCGAGAGGAGGCATCTGATTTGAAACCAAATGCCTTTTACTGAAAAGTCTGACAGATTTCTGTTTTACCAAAAAACCAAACTCTGAATTAATTAATTACTCCGAGCAGTGTGAGAGAGAATTAGAGGATATTGTTTTTTCCCATATTATTGAGACACTTCAGCCTCACATCCATGCAGGGAAGCTGCAGTATCATGTACAGATCAGTATCAGATCATGCTCTGTCTGAACTGAGCACATGGAAAACAAGCCAGGGGAAGCAAAGCCACTGCTGAGATTCTCACTATTTGAATATAAAACGTTGCCTGGCTAGAGAGGGAAATGGTTTGCATGATGATGGAACAGGCACTGGTGCTTAGCAGAGCTGCTTTGCCTTCCCAACCAGCAGCAGGTTGGGAATGGGTGGGACTGGGAGAAGGCAGAGGAGGTTTACAGCGAGGTATTGCTTGCCCATAGCTCATCAGTGCAGCTCTCAGCCTCCTAATTCAAAGGGAAGGGCACCCCCAGCCTTGCTGGAGAGTAAAAATAGCTCAGCAGACAGTCAGCAAAGTTGGAGCTGCGTCTGCCGCTGCCTTGGGAGCTGGTGGAAGAGCTTTCTGGCAATATTATGTCAACAAAGCACCATCTAGTGGTTATGGGACCCGGGGTTCCCCACCCTCCCAGAGGCTCTGCTCACTGCCAGGCTGTGCCCAGCTCACCTCCAAGCTTTGCCCAGCTCATTGCCAGGCTTTGCCCAGCTCTGTTCCAGGCTCTGCCCAGCTCACCACAGTGAGATGCCAAAACACAGCTCCAGAGCCCACACCACACATGTAGTTTTTTCACTGCAGACTGAGCAGGTGAAAAGATTTCAGCACAACCGATACCTGTAGCTTTGACTGGAACCTTTGCCCAGCTCAAGGAGACATGACAGCTCGGGATAGGCACCCCAACTCCTTCATTACTGCCATTGTCTCGCTGTTGGGGCTCTCCTACCTGATGTGAGGCTGAGGCCAGTGCTGGGGGTGGTCCCCAGGGCCTGCTTGCACATCACCCACCCCAGCACCACCTGCTCCTGCCTGTGGTCCTGCTTGGGGTCCAGATCTGCTCAGTGACACAAATGAGCTGAGGGAAGGTGAACTGAGAGAGCCAAGGCATCCCTTTCCTCCCCTTAGCCCACCCTGAACTCAGTCTTGAAGCAAAAATCCACATAGAGAATGCAGTTCCAGGCAGCCAGAGGATTTCCCAAATTCCAGACACCCATTTGGCTGGACCACCCTCGTGCCACCCTGCTCTGGTGTGACAGCACTGCCAGAGCTCTGGCTCTGAGCAGGAAGGTCATGCTGCTGTTCCTCAGGGAATGTTAGTTGGTGTTTAAAACCTGAGAGGTACCAGCCCCAAAAGCCTCCCAAGTGCTGAGCATATATTTGGGTTATCATAAACTGCTAGCAAATGCTCACCCCAGTGGCAGGGGTTTAGTCAGGACAGACTTTCTCATTTCTTGTCCTGAGCTCAGTGTCCAGGGCAGGCTGCAGTGGCTGTAGATGAAAGGTGCCTCTGAAGTTCTTCAAAGTGATCTGTTAGAAGGTGATGTGTCCCCTCCAGACACCAGCATCATGTCACACCCCAGGCTTGCAGCACCCACACCTTTGGCACTTTCAAAGCCTGCCATTGTCCCTGCTCCAGGTCTGAACCCCCAGGTGTGACACTGGGAGGAAGTCTGTTATTTGCTTTCTTGTTTGGTTGGCAGCTGAAACTTTGAAGCTGGTTAGCAAGTGATGGATGATGGCATCTGACAGGCAAAGCTGATGGGAGTCAGATGCATTTATCTGGCAGGGCAGAGATACCCTGTGCTGCAACTAACTTCTTTACTGTGCCAAAGGAGGAAAAGAGAGCAGGATTAAAGGGCTCGCTGGAATCCTGCTTATGTAATTAAAACAAATAGGAATCCTGACTTCCAATAAAGAAACTTCATAAATATCTGAGTTTATGTTGGAGCGTAAAGTAGTTCGTCAGCATCAAAACTGTGGCTGTCAGCATGGAGGAGTTTAATTCTTCCTGGCAAGGACTTAAGAGTCGCTAACAGCGTGTCCTAGACCAGCGTGAACTGCAAGAACAAGCAGTTACTTCCAACCCATTTCTTTATCTGCGTGAAGTGTTTCACTCCAGCCTTAGCATGCCCGGGAGAAATCAGTGTTTGATTTTCAAAACCGTTCATGCAGCTGTCGACCTTCACTTGCCCCCTCCTGTTGCAGCCCACTCTTGGCTTTGCCTTGTGAAATAGTCATTTGGGTGAGAAACCCCCCCCCGATCTCACCTGACTCAGAACTGATTTGCCACATATCCTGTAGCTCTGAGTTTATCTGATGTGCTTTGAAGCGGTGCCTTACCAAAGGCACGTGGGAAGTCACAAGTGCAGTGCAGTAACTTGTGTTTCCGCTGCTGGTTGTTACAGAACCACCTTCAGGGGACTTGGAGAGGTTTTTAGTAAGGTTCTGCCTGCTCTTGTGCCTGATTGAGTTGTTAGGCTGGTCAGAAAGCTGTGTCTGTATCCCCGGTTGTGATGTGTGGGCTGCCTGTCAGAGCTCACCTCAGTCTCCTTGGGGAGTGCATGAAGAATGTTGCTAATGATGGTTCAGAAGGCAGGTACAGAGACCTGAGCTGCTCTGCTCAGTGACAGCCAGACTGCAGAGGCTTGGCTTGAGCACTGGAAGTTTTCTGTCAGTCTGGGACAGGTCTCCAGAGGGGTGGTGGATCTCCATCTTGAAGGTTTTCAAGATCTGGCTGGATTAAACCAGGCCTAACCCGAGGGTTGGCAGCAGTCCTGCTCCAAGTAGAAGGTGGGACTAGAGACCCCTTCCACCACGCTGCTGTCATTCTCTGATTGTCCCTGTGTTTCTTGCAGGAGGAAGAAGGTGAGGATGCAGATATCTCTTCTGGTCCCTCGGTCATTAGCCACAAGATGCCTTCCGCCCAAGCCTTCCATCACTTTGCTCCTCGTTACGCTGAGATGGGCTGTGCTGGGGTGCAGATGAGAGATGCCCACGAGGAGAACCCCGAAAGCATCCTGGATGAACACGTACAGCGTGTGATGAAAACACCAGGCTGCCAGTCCCCAGGACCCGGCCGTCACTCTCCTAAACCACGGTCCCCGGAAAGCGGCCACTTAGGAAAGGTGTCAGGGACACTGGGAACAATTCCTCCAGGGCATGGCAAGCACGCAACAAAATCAGGAATGAAGCAGGATGCAGCTAACTTGTACCACCATAAACATGTCTACCACCACATCCATCACCACAGCATGATGAAACCAAAAGAGCAGATCGAGGCCGAGGCCACGCAGCGAGTGCAGAACAGCTTTGCTTGGAATGTAGATTCACATAACTATGCAACAAAGTCAAGAAACTACAGTGAAAACTTGGGCATGGCCCCTGTCCCCATGGACTCTTTAGGCTACAGGTGAGTCAAGGAACATCCAACGGGATTCCCAAAGCCATGGCTTCTCTAGGGAGGCTGTAGCATGTAGATGAAACAGTGTTTGAACCACATTTTTTGGGGGAAACCTTATGCTGGGACATGGTTTGAGGGCTTTCCACTGCTCATACCCTTCCAGAAATGTATATGCCCCAATAACCCTTATGAGACCCGTTTTTATCTCTGTGATCTCGTGCTGAAAGACACCTTCTAACCAGGATTTTTAGTGGCCTGGTTATAAAGTAGGTTTTCTGCTCCTTAAAGCAGTGGAGGTGCTTAGAAATTGCAGGTGCTGGTCTGCTTCTCCATGGACCAGGAGCTGCATGTTAGGGCTGTGTCTCGAGGTTTGGGTAGCAGAAACAGATTTCTTAAGGTGTTTATGAGAGGACAAATCCCCCCTCCTTATTGCAAGGCCTAACCCCTTCCCCAGAAGGGCCCCCTTCTCCTCCCAACAAAGCACTGAGTGCTGCAGTGCTGCCGTGGCAGCCTGTCCCAAGGGGATGTTCTCCAGGCTAGGGCAACCTCTGCCCAGAAAAACCATTTTGCTGCTTTATGGACTGCTGTCCATCTTCCCTTGGCTGTTTGAATTCCTCCATCCCCTCCATGCTGCAGGGAGAGGGCAAAGCTCCTCTGCTGCAGCAGATTTTGCTGGTCCTGTTACTGTATGACTGCAAAGGTGGGAGTGAAGCTCAGGGCTGCCCAGCATGAGGGATGGGGATGGAGCAGCCACAGGGGAAAGTTGTGCTCACTCTGAGTGTGTTTGGCTCCCCAAAGCTGTGGATTTGGGGTGTTATGAAGGCAGGAGGCTGGGTCTGCAGCAGACAGGACCAGCTTTCCAGGCTGGCAGGAGGGAGGCAGAGTGCAGAGGCTCCTCTCCAGGAGGGAGAAGCAGTTAAATCTGCCCTGTTTCAGTGGGGAAAGGGTTGTTGCTTCATCAGAGTTGAACATGGCCATGCTGGACCAAAGCAAAGCCCCATCTAGACACAAGACTTCCTCCTAGCAGCAACTACAGCATATATTTAATGGGATTGTAATAGGACACACTCAGAGTTGTCCTTCCTCTGGCACAAACTCCCAGTTCCTGGCAGTCCTTAGATTAGGAGCTTCACAGGACCAGGGTTTGCATCCAAATGGTCTTGTTTGGCAGCCTGCAGTCTCTTGTGATTTCTCTGGCTCCTTGTTGAACCCATCTGGGTTGCTGTCCCCCCAGCCCCTCACGATTGTGTCTGTGGGTTGATGACAACCTGCAGAAAAAGGCTTATTTTTTTTGTTTGCACTGAACCTGCTGCTACAGAGTTTCATTTGGTACCCACTAATCCTTGTGTGGGGAGAAGCAGAGAAGATGTCAGCTTGCCCTGCCTTTGTAGATCTGCAGCAACCCCTCTCCAGGCTTTTTCCCAGAAAAATCAGCAAAGCTATGTAAGGGCCTCTTTCTCCTCTAGTGGTTAGGTTATTTTTCTTATATGTGCAGAAGGGGAGAGGTCCTATAAGTGGGTGGTTAGGACAGTGGGGGTCCCATGAAATTGCAGGCTGTGCCAGTGCCAGGCCAGCACGGCGGAATTCTGTGCCTGGGGCTGCTCAGCTGGGCACATGGCCATGCATGTGTGGGCAAGGGGCCATGGGGTTCCTGTAGGAGCCTTTGCTGCAGCCAAAGGTGTAGTCAGAGTGTGGGCTGCTGCCTGGCATCCCTCTGGCTACGGTCTGCAAGCTGGCAGGGCTTGCCCATGGAAGGCAGCCCACCCTGCTGGGATGTGATCTTCCACCACGATGTGAAGCCTCGGTTCAGATCAGGGTGAGGAGCAAATGCTGTGCATGGCAAGTCAGAGTTTGGGGTATCAGTAAAGCTGGGGGGAGATAGGAAGGACCCAGGTTTCAAGCGGTGGTCAGGCATGGAGAGGCAGCCATTGGATTGCAGCACCAGGATGAACCTCCTGCCCTGAGCAAAGAGCTGGGGCTTTAACCTGCCACAACCCTTCTTGTGGCAGATCTTGCCACAGGGTTGTGACTTGTCTGTCCAGAGGAGAAGCTCCCTTTCCCCACAAGTGAGCGGGCAGAGAAGTTGCTGTGCCCAGGTCTAGCCAGTCTTGCTCTTAGGTTAAACTTCAGCATGGTTGGTTTGAGCCTTGGTAGAGCAGGGGGCTGTGGGAGGTGTCTGGAGACAGACATGTCCATCTTCTGCCCCGGCCCACAGTGGTTTGGCTCAGGCAAAGCACTGATGTCTCAAGCTTTGTTCTTGCAGTGGGAAAGCGAGTCTGCTCTCCAAAAGGAATGTTAAGAAGACTGATTCAGGGAAAAGTGATGGTGCCAACTATGAGATGCCAGGATCTCCTGAAGACGTGGAGAGAAACCAGAAGATCCTTCAGTGGATCATAGAAGGAGAGAAGGAGATCAGCAGGCATAAGAAAACAAACCATGGGTAAGGGCTGGCAGAGAGAGGGGTCTTCATGCTGTTGTATTGCATCCCCTGCACAAGGCATGTCAGCCTTGCTCCTGCACATCCTGGGAAGGCAAGAATCCACAACACCAAGGGTTTACAGCCTTTGGAGTTTGAGGATTGCTCAGGGGCTATAAGGACTCTTTTTTTTCTGAAGGATGACAGTAGAAGCCAGGACAGGTTGCACTGCTGGCAGCTGGGCCTGAGTGCCAGGGCCATGGGCAGTGCCAGGCCACCAGGAAGTCAGGCAGCAAGTTCTGCCCCTGGAGCTGGAAAAGGATCCCCCTTCCCTGGGGATGCTGACCAGTGTATGGTAGCACAGGGCATCTTCTGGGGGAATGTCACAAACTGTGGAACTGCCTTTTGCTGGGTTTATTTTTATGTACTGTGGATTGATGAGAGCCCTTACACACAACTGTGAGGTTTGTGTCAGAGTTGGGCTGCTCACCCTGATGTCTCAGGACTTTCTGTCCTCAAATCTTCTCTAGGCTTTGATGTTGCTCCCCTCTCCCTCGGAAGCCATGCTGTGAGGAGCTTCCCCAGCTGTGTCTGTGTCCAGCAGCAGGTCCATCTGGGAATGGCTTTGTGCCTGTTCAGGGTGTCCTGGTGGTCCATGTAAAACCTTTATGTTTGTACAGCTCTTCAGGTGCTAAGAAGCAGCTGTCCCATGACATGGTCCGGCCCCTCTCCATCGAGCGACCCGTCGCGGTGCATCCGTGGGTCAGTGCCCAGCTCCGGAACGTCGTCCAGCCTTCTCACCCCTTCATCCAAGATCCTACCATGCCGCCCAACCCGGCCCCCAACCCTCTCACCCAGCTGGAAGAAGCTCGCAGGAGGTTGGAGGAAGAGGAAAAAAGGGCTGGAAAACTCCCCCTTAAACAAAGGTACGACAAGAGGATCTGATTGTGCATGGGAGGGACAGGACAGACTGCCCTGAAGGTGGGCAGCTGAGGGATGTCCTTCTTTTCTGCTCTAGTCTTCAGCTCCAGCTGGGTGGAGGCACATGCAGAGAGGTCAGAGAAACCTGCCTCAGTCCCTCTGATGTAGTGGTGCAAATGGCAAAACCCACCCTGAGGGCCTGGGCTTGTGGATTGTGGAGGGAGAGGCTGGAAATGCTCCTGGCAGGGTGGGAAGGGGCTGGGCAGGGGGAGCGTGTCTGGAATGGGCCTGGCATGGCAGAGCTCTCTCCCCTGGTACTCAGTGGCTCTCTGCTTGTTCACGCCCCCACCATGACTTCAGAGGCTGGTGCAGGAGCAGGATTCATCAGGATGCAGCAGAATTAAGTGCAGAAGACAAATATGTGTTTGCTCTTTATCTACATCTCGCACAAGCTTCCAGCAGTGGCTGCTCATGGCTCTGGAGGAGAGCACTGTGCTGTAGCCCTGCTGCAGCAGCCCTGCCTCCTGCCTGGCCATATCCAAGTCACTGCATCTTTCTGTGACTCAGCTTATTGCCTGTTGCAGAGCTCATTCTCCTGCTCTGTGTTATCTGTCAGGGAACATTATTTAAGAGGCACATGGAGCTCTCCAATGAAAAGCGTTCTGGAAGTGCTGGATAATTACTGTTAACAGCTAACAGCACTTTGTCCATTAAAAACCTTTCACAGCTTTACAGCTGTCCTCTGAAAACTCGAATCTTTGTGGTCTGACTCTTAGAAACACAAATGGAATTTAAAAAAGAAGCTCTTAATTGCCAGGCTCCAGTGTTTTGCTTGCAGTGACCACATGGCAGACTTCTGTGTATTCATGTCAGAGCATTGATTGAAAGCCAGGTAATTAGAGGGCTCTCCCAAGCCAGGTTAAGCCAAGTTTATGTGATCTACCTTTCAGCTGGTGTAACTGGATAGGGTTTATTAGTAGTCATTTATAGTTGTACTAAATTCATGCACCTTCCCCAGAAATGTCTCTACGCCATCCTGAGCTATATGTGTATGCAATTAATACTTTGACAATAATTTGGTGTGTATTTTAAGAGTGGCTTTTACAGGAACCCCATGGCATGTGGGAAATGCCGTGCAGGCCAGCAGGAGGATGGTCTGAACAGTCCCAGTGCTGGGCTGCTCTGCTTGCACTGCCTCCCCATGAGCCTGGCTCTTGTCCCAGTGATGCAGGGATCTCCCAGCCCTGCCCTGCGTGTGGAAAACCAGGGAGACATGGTTGGGAACCATGTGGGCTCCACCAGTGGGGAACTGCTCATGAATAGCAAATGTGTCTGTGCCCAGTAGCAAGAATGGATGCAGTGGTCCCCAGGGAGCCAAAGATTTCTGCATGTTGAAATCTCTCTGCTGGAGTTTGGCAGGATTGGGTGCTCCAGCTGAAGCACACCTGAGCTGGCAGCTTTTTAGAGAGCTCCTGCTCTGGTTAGCACAGGAGCCTACCTGGAAATAGATCCCATGGCTCAGTGAGAACAAAGGAGAAAATGAGAGGGGAATTCACATGAAAACACTATTTATTTCAGTCAGGAGCTCTGGAGAGCTCTGGGAAATTGGAGCCGGTGTCCCAGGTTTGTCAGCAGCCTTGGGGAAGCATGGAAAGGTGGAGGTGAGCCCAGAGGTGTCCTTGAGGCACTGCTTGATCTGGCTGTGGGAGGAGAGCGTGCTGTGCCAGCATTGTATGGTCAGGCTGGCCTTGCCAGCACGGTTATCCGGCTCTCCAGAGCCTCCCCTCCACACAGCTCTTCAGGAGCAGTGGGATTCCCCAGCCAACTGCCCACTGCCCTGGCTGAGGGTGCTGACAGCCCCACTCCCACCCCAGCACTGCCCTGCTGGAAATTAAGGAGGCACCTGCAGTTTCTGTGCTGGGAATTGTAAATATTCTTCCAGAAATACTCATACTGCAGAAAGAGCCTTTCTCTCCCTACTCCACAGCGTTTGGAATGACCTCATCTCCAAGATAACTGCCTGACTGCTGCTGGCAAGCATTGCAGGATTAACTGTCTGGTACTGAGTGACCTGCAGATCCAGCAGCACAGCAGTGCCCAGCAGTGGTGTCCCAGTGACCACCAGGTTTCTTCCCTGTACAGACAGGTTTTGAGCCATTTTCTGTAGCTCAGTCTCACAGTTCACAGCTGAATTGAAGTAATTAATACCAGCTCTTCAGAGAAAGGGTTTTTTCAAGCAGGGAGAACATTAGCATGATCTGTCTGGAGTGAATTGGGTTGGGCCAAGCTTAGAAGAGGAGCAGATCTGATGACTATGACAACTCCCCAAGGTAACATCTGCTGGGTGCATTTGGGGCTTCTCAAAGCTCTCCAGCCCCAGGGCTGAGTTGGAGCAAGATGGGCACCTCACTTCTGCATCACAGTGAGATTGGATTGGTGCTGTAAGCCAGACTTAGATTCCCTGTCAGAGCACCAGTGAGTTACACAACTCAGGAGTCAGGACTGGAATGCAGTTGCAGTGAGTTGGGTGAATGCTGTCGTTTCCATACCAGATAATGTTTTGTGCTTGTGACAAACCCAGCAACAGGAGGTGATTCCAGGAGGGGCAGGGCAGTGGTACCTGTTTCTGGTCACACTGCCACCCAGGAGATGGGTGCAGGTGGAAGATTTAATGAAGCAGGGCTTGGAGATGGTCTGGTGGCCTTTATGTGCAAGGTCTCAGGAGATGTCTTGGCAATGACGAAAGTGGAGACGGTTGTGTTGCCTCATTCTCCTGAGAGGAGCTCCTGGAAAATTACATTTTCAGTGATTCCATATTCATCAGCTCTGCTTTAGCCTGCTAGAGGTCTGTGGCTGCGGTTTGGGATGTGTGTCAGCTCTGCTGATAGAATTAAAGCAACAAGAAAAGCTTCTCTAGGCACACTGGTTATAAAAGGAAGACCAGGGAAAATGTGGACCCTCTCTGGAAGGAAATGGGAGAGCTGGCTACATGGGGCATGCAGAAGGTATTTTTTTGGCTTGGTCTTTCTTGCCTTGGTCTTCACTGGCGAGTGCTCCAGGCACAGCACCCGAGTCACAGCAGGCAAAGGCAGGGACTGGGAGAACAAAGAACCACCTCAGTAGGAGATCAGTTTTGAGACCATGTAAGGAACCTGAAGGTGGGACCTGATGAGATCCACCACAGATCTGAGGGCACTGGGGGATGAAGTGTCTTAGCCACTATCCATTGTATTAGAGAAGTCACAGCATAAGTTTCCATTGACTGGAAAAGGGGAAACATGGTTCCTATTTTTAAAACGGGGAAAAGGAAGGCTTGGCAGACTAAAGGCAAGTCTGTCTCTTCTCTGTGCCTGGCAAGATCATGGAGCAGCCCACTTCTGGGCATCATTTCAGGCATTATTTTGGGGCACATCTCTGCTCTGGAAAGAGCTGGAGCCGGGCTGAGCACGTTCAGAAACGGCCTTTCGGGTGTGAAGTGCATGGCAGGAGGAAGGAGGCTCCCAGTCACTGGCACGGTCCCCTCTTGCTTCTGCCACGGCAGAGCTCAGGGATGTCCTGTCCTCTCCACCTCCCCAGGCAAGGGAGAACAGCAGCCCTGAGGAACCAGCTTTGCTGCCTGTGCCAGGCACTTCACTGTGTCCCCAGGTCCCCAGGCACACATCTCTTAGTCATGACTTGTCTCTAGCAGGATTAAGAGAAGCTTAGGGACTTTGAGGTTTTCCAAACCCCTTCAATTAACTTCTGGCTCACAGGGTTCACAGAATTTGCCTGAATTTATGACCCATTTTCCCTTTAAATGCTTTGTATTTTTTTTTCCAAGGATGACTCAATTCCTTAATGTTTTTCTAGCTAAAGGGCATCCTGTGCTTTGATACAGGGATGGGAGAGGCTCCGAGAGCTCTGCTGGCACCAGGAGCAGACCCTTTCCTCCCAGGACGCTGCATCTTCTCCAAAGGTCTCGCAGGCAGAGCAGGCACCCGGAAGGTTGTTCAGTTGAACTTCAGACCTCTCATGCCTGTAGGAGGAGTTGAAAAAGCTCTGTCTGGTGTTGGTTTGCAGTGCCAGTGTTTATGTGGGCACGCCATGAAAAGGTGCTCTGCCCGCCAGCCAGTGTTTAAAGGTTAAGGTCAGAGTCATTTCCAAAACTGCGATTACCTCATGTGCTTGGCAAATTCTGTTTCTTTACAGCAACTTTCCAGTCATGTAAATACAAAATCATCTTTTTTTATCCAGCGTGCTTTTAAAATAATTTTTTTTTTTTTAAAGCTGCCAAATGTGCTTTATGTGCCTTTGAAAGGGAAGGCTGCCTCTGGCTCAGACCACGCATGCCAAGGTACCAATTTGTGTAGGCTGCTCCAATGTTTGTGCAGCGTCCTCGGCACCCCAGATGAAAGGCTCTGCAGAAGGGCAAAGTACCCTGAGTTTTGTTTTTGCCGCCTTTGTCTGTCTCTGAAAATGGGGTGAGGGCTGGGCTGATGGTTTTGGTCTAGTGATGGCGCCACGTAGCTGAACCCCGATGTGTGGGCTGGAAACAGAGACCAGACCAGCATTCTCAGAGCAGGAAAAACACAGGAGGTATAAAGTCACTGAGGTTTTGGGGATGGCAGCTGCCTTGGCACCCTGCTGGGAGCTCCATCCCCTCTGACCTCGTCTGCACTGGGAGAGGTGTCCGGGGGAGCCGTGGGGCAGCCCTGTCTGCAGATGTAGCTCAGTGGAAAGCCATGCTGAGCTGTTTTGGCCATGGTGGCAATAATCCCGAGCACTCTGAGCAGTGTCTGCATGATCATGTCCTGCAGGATGACGCTCCAGCCCTGCATGGGTGCGCACCAGGAGCGTGGTGAGATGGTGATGATGGGTGACCTGGGCCTGCTGCCACGGGCCTGGGGTGCTCTGCCTGGCCCAGAGCTTACCAGTGACTCCCCAAACCATGCTATGAGCAGGGCGATGCCCTCTCAAAACCTGAGGACAGGTTTCTTCAGGATTGAGCTAGAACCGTGTCCTGGGCGCCATCCAGCCTTCCCAAGTGCTGTTTGCTCCTTCACCAGCCCCAGTGTTCAGCTGGATGCCGAGAGAGGCTGGTGGTGGGAGCAAGGCATGCTCAGGGACTGCACTGCACTTCCTGCAGCCCATCTGGCAGGACCTGACCCACACCTCTCCCAACACGATGGTGCTGAGCACTGTGGGCTGATACTCAGCAGGTCCCTTGTGTCTGTCCCCAGCAGGTTGAAGCCCCAGAAGAGGCCGGGCAGCGGCGCGTCCCAGCCGTGCGAGAACATCGTGGTCGCTTATTACTTCTGTGGAGAGCCCATCCCCTACCGCACCCTGGTCAAGGGGCGCGTGGTCACCCTGGGACAGTTCAAGGAGCTGCTGACCAAGAAAGGGAACTACAGGTAAGGGCTGCTCCCCACCTGTGGCGTGGTGCCAGCAACTGCCAGCGATCCCCGGCAGATGCCACTGTGGTGTTGCCCCCACCAAGGTGAAGGAGCTCGGTGGAGGTCGGTCAGGAGGGCTCCCTCTCGGAATGCTGTGGCGGGGATGTGGCTGCTGAAGAGGCAGGTTACAGGGATGAGGGAGGTCGGGTTTTATAGCAGAAACGTCCTGCATCATGGTTTGCAGCTCCAGCAGAAGCTGCTGAGCTGCCCTGCGGTGTCCTGGGCTGGTAAGCAGCAGCATCAGCCAATGCTCAGTGATGCTGTGGGGACCCTCTGATTTCAGAGCTGTTTTGGCTCCTCCCAGAGTTTATTTTGGTGAGGACAGGGAGATTGGGTCCTGCCAGAGTCCCAAAGCAGCCAAGTGAGAGGCATGTAGCTCTCCAAGTTGTCCCTTCCAAGTAGGAGTGGCCATGGAAAAACCTGCCTAGAAATGCTCCACCAACACAGGTGCCTCGGCCACTATTTTTAGGAGAGGTGTGAACGGACTTGGATTCAGGGCTGGAGCTCCTGACTGTGCTAGCATGGATCCTGACCACTGTGTGTGCTCACTGGGTGAGGGCAGGGGCGTTTGCCTCCAGGTCTGGGGGAGCAGCTTCCCATGCACCACGAGCTCAGGGCCATGGAAGGGCTGTACCCAGGTTTGAGGACCGTGATGCCCCAAGACCATTCAGCTCCATTTTTTTTTCCCTCTCCCCCACCATGTTCCTCTTTTTGCAGGTATTACTTTAAGAAGGTGAGTGACGAGTTCGACTGTGGTGTGGTCTTCGAGGAGGTGCGGGAGGACGACACCATCCTGCCCATCTTCGAGGAGAAGATCATTGGGAAGGTGGAGAAGATTGACTAAGGCTCCAGGGCAGCCGAGGCGTGAGGACAGGACTGTGAAGGACTCTGGGACCGGAGGAGAAGGCCTGGGGCAGACACTGGTGGTGCTGCTGCCACGGGCACCGGGCGAGCCCAGGGCGGAGAGCGGCAGCCCCGCTCTCCAGCACGGACCTGGGCAAGCTCCAGGATGCCAGTGGATGCCGTTTCACCCCATGAACCTGCCAGTGGGAGCCTGGGCTCCCTCTCCATACCGAATATAAGTGTAATGTAGCATTGTACAGTGCATTAGAAAGTGTAATATGACCTTGTTTACTAAAGCTGCATATTTTTGATATATTGTAATAAAAGGAAAATATTTCCAATGTCACAGTGCTCTTATGTAAATGTAAAACATACAGGTACTGCAGAACTCGCCCAAAGTGTACAGCCATCCGTCAGGCTCCGGCTGCTCCGTGCTTTCCCGGCACCCTGCCCCGTTCTCCCGGCGTGGATGGCTCTGGAGCACCGTGGGGCAGAGCAGCTGTCACCCCACGTGGAAGGGTCCCAAGGGGCTGTGAAGATTTTTGAGCCACTTGGAAGGAGTCAGTCTCTGGCCTCCTTGGCAGGCTCAGCTGCTGGATATGGTTGGATGGGTCTTTTTTTTTTCCTCCTGAGCTTCCTTGCGACCGAGTAAATCCCCAAGGGATAAAAGGGTCAGTGCTCCCTGCAGAGCAAGGACCAGCTGGGAGCTGGGGTGGCAGGCTGGGTGCTGGCATCCCATGGCCTGCATGCTCATGTGTGTATCCCCTGTGTGCCCCTGGAGAAGGTGCTGGCACCCATGTGCCTGGTGCAGATGCACCCAGACCCCTGGGCCAAGCTCTGGCATTGGGCAGGGAACTCTTTAGGAGAACCATAATAGGGAGGGAACTGTGAGACACTAAAGCTGAGGACAAAACACCTTTTTTTATGAGTCCTGCATCTTTTGTCTGCTTCTGTGTCTCAGGGGAGGCAGCAGGAGGGCACTGCACCAGGGGGGTTATTGATGCCAGTTTGTGAGGCTCACATAGGGCCAGATCACCCACTTGGCAGAAGTGGGTGACCCAGAACCCTGGGAAGCCTCCTGGGCTTACTCAGTTGCAAGGAAGCCTGGGCTGTGCCGGTGCTCCCACCACCCTGCCTGTCCCCAGCCCGGGCCCTGCTGCTCCAGCATGGCTGCGACTGTGCCAGCTCCTTCAGAGACCAGCCCTTGCCCACCCACAGAAACGGGAGTGGCCCCAAAGCCGGGGCTTTCCACATCAGTGCTCGCCCTGCCCAGCACTGCTCTCAGCCACAGCAGTGTTGGGGCTGCCGGGCACCCCGTGGCACCGCGCCGGGACGCGACTCAGCCTGTTGTTTATGTCACCGAGTGCCTTTAAAACACGGTCCTGGGACTTGCCTAAAATGCTACGTGAGGTCCATCAAAATCTGCAGATGTTTTCAGCCCGGGAACAGCGTTTCAAGGGGGTTTGCTCCCTGTTTTTTGAAGTTCTGATGGTGGTGTGTCTGGTGAGGTTGTTAACGTGCCCGGGATTTCCGTCTCCCCCTTTTTTCTCGGGGGTCCCTGTAAATATGTACAGCGGCCGCGCAGCCCCGGCGACGTTTCCTCTGCATTCTCATGTGCTGACTTGTACAATGATCTTTTCAAAGGTACTTGGATAAAATGAAATAAAACCCCACGTCCCACTGCCTGCTGCTTTCTTCCTTCCCCGCGGAGCTATTCCCGGGCCCCCGGCAGCCTCTGGGATGGACAGAGGATGGCACAGGTCTGGCGAAGGGTCTGGGCACACGGTGGGGCTGGGGCTGCTCTGGGCTTCCTGGAAGGGTGGCTGGGCGGGTCCTGGCCCCAGGGGACCAACATGTTGCCCCTGGAGGAATAGCCCAGGGGAGAGGGGATGGTGCTGGCGTTTGGAGGGGATGCTGGGGGTCCCAGAAGCTGAGCCAGACTTGAGGGGAGCATGTGACAGCAGCTCCTGGGGCTGGTGGGTCATGAAGGAGAGACCCTGGCTGGTCCCCCATCACCTGAACCCCAGCAGCCCAGCACGAGGGCCAGCATGGAGAGTGCTGGGCTGCCCCCACAGCCCTGTCCTTGGCCAGCCTGTCTCACCGTGGGGCTGCCAGGATGAGTGTTATGGCACAGCTGCCCCAGGGAGGCAGAGGGCCCCTGGCAGCACCCCCTCCTGGGGGGCCCAGGGCCAAGCAGTAGTGGGGGGCCTGCCCATTGTCAGCCCTGCTGTGCCCCCAAGACACGTGGATGCTCCCCGAGACATGGAGCCGCAAACAGACCAGAGCCCACATGGTTTCCAGGTGGTTTATATCACGTGCCTGAGCAGGACAGGGCTCACAGCTCATCCCGGGTTTCATCTGTCCCCAGCACACTTGGATCCTCCTTGCCTGTGCTGTTCCCAGGGGTCTTGGTCACCTGGAAAAGGCAACAGTGAGGCATGGATGGACACACAGTCCCTGCCTGCCCCTGTCCCCATCACCATCCCACAGGATCCCTCCCCTTGCCCAGCAGGGGCTGGGGGCTGCCCTGGGGTGTGGGGGGGGTCCCTGACCTCACTCACCACAGGAGGCTCCACGGGCAGCACCCCCCCATTTTCCAGGAACTTGGAGAAAGTTTCCACATCTCGGGTGCTCTTGTACTCAACCATCTGGAGCCATGGGATGGGAGGGTGATAAGGGGTGACCCCATTCCCCGTGTGCTGGCAGAGCTGGGGTGACCCCAGGGGTGCTCCCCCCACGTACCTTCCTGCCTGGCCCTGCGGGGAAGTAGTGCAGGGTGGGGAAGCCGTGGATGGTGATGTTCTCCAGCTCGTTGGCCGTGGCATCCATCTCGGCGATGACGATGTCCTCGTGGTCCTTGTAGCGCTCGCCCAGCTCCTCCCAGGCGGGTGCCATGGCCTGGCAGTGGGAGCACCACGGAGCGTCTGCGGGACAGGCACGGTGCCAGGGGATGGACTGGGGGACTGGGGCTCTGCTGCAACCCCCAGGTGAGGGTCTGTGACAGGGCTGGGGGCTGCTGTGGAGGGGCTGAGCCCAGCCCTGGCACTTACAGAACTTGACAAAGACGTTCTTGGTCTCATCGAACGCCACCTGCTCGAAGGTCTTCCCCACCAGGACTTTGACGGGCCGCGTGTCCCAGTCCTCGGGGGGCTCTGCACTCAGCAGGTGGGGCTGTGGGGACAGTCGGGGCAGCCACAGCTGGGCTGGGCAGTGCCAGGGCCCCAAGGGGCACAGTGCGGGCAGGGGCAGGGGTGTCCCAGCACACAGCCAGGGGTGCACTTGTGCTGCCTGTTGGACCACATCTGCCCTTCCGCTGCCATCCCAGCTCTGTGTGTCTCCACATCAGCAGTCTCCTGCCTCCTTTCCCCTACCAACCCCCCACATCCTCAAGCCTGGCAGCAGAAGGATCAGCGAGCAGGGGGTGTTCACCAGCCCACCACTCACCACGGGGAAGAATCCTCAGGTGCTGGCTGGCACCTGCTGCCTCCCTCACCTTCACCTTGCCATCCAGCACCGCCTGGATGAAGGTGCGGATGGCCGTGTCCGAGAAGGAGTCCTGCTCCATCTGGTACTTGCGGTTGTTCTCCATCTTGACGAGGCGCAGGGTGGGGGCGTCGGCGGGGGTCATGCCGAAGAAGGACAGGACGTCGGCGCCGTACCCGTTCACATCCACCACCACGAAGAGCACCTGGGCAGGGATGGGTGACCCTGAGGATGGGGTGCCCCACAGCCACCCCCCTTGTCCCTGCCATGAGACCACCTCACCTCGCCCCGGAAGGTGCCGGCAGCTGCCTTGAAGCCGTCCTGCAGGGACAGCTGCTCCGATGATGACTTGTTGAGGAAGAGCAGCATGTGATGGGGGATCTTGGCACCGAAGATCTGGTTGGATGTCTGAGGAGGAGGAGAAGGGTGAGGGCAGGGGGCTATGGCACTCACAGGCAGAGATGGGGATGGACACGGGCTGTACCTCATTGTTGAACTCTGTCACCAGCCTCAGGCTGTGGACGCGGAGCAGCCGCGTGAGCTCATCTGTGTCCAGCCCCCGCGCCGGGTCCACGGGGAAGTTTGTCTGTCTCTCATCAAACTGCCGGGGCAGGGGCCAGTGAGGGCTGGGATGGGGACCAAGATGGCCCCACCACCCTCTGCCACCCCCTCACCTTCTTGAAGAGACAGATGGTGTCGGCCGACAGCCCGTAGGCCTGGAAGAGCTCGGCCGCCTCCGCCACACCAAAGTGCATGTCCACCATCTCAGCAGCCACATCATAGAACGCCTGGGCTGCCTGGCCCTTCAGGTCCTGCGCAGTCCCCACATCAGTGCCACAGCCATGGCCATGGCTGCGGCCCCAGTGCGGCCCCCACCCGCCCCAGCCCACCTTGAAGAAGCCAATGACCACCAAGTCCTGGGAGCTGGCGAAGGCGTTGGCGGTGTCGGTGTCGTGCAGCAGCGTGGCACTGGGGCCGGCCCGGCGCTGCATCCAGCGCACAATGCCCCGCGTGTCCATGAGTCCTGCCATGCCGAGCAGAGCCAGTGCTGTCACCCTGACACCCCTCACCAGGCTGCCACCCCTCACCAGGCTGCCACCAGCCTTGGCCACCTGCCACCACCACCATGGCACTGCCTGGCATCACCCACCTCACGCACCATCACCACACTGTCACCAGCCCGCTGTCACCATGCTGCACAGCCCACCAGGACATTGCCACCCCTCTCACCATCACCACCCTGCCACCCTCCCCAGCCCCGTGGCAGTGTCCCCTTGTTTGGTGCCACGGCCACCGCGCGGTGCCACAGCCCTACCGGTGTAGGGGAGGGGGTGGGTGCGGTTGCCATTGCGGAAGAGCTTGAGCGTGGGGTAGGAGGTGATGTTGAACTCGTTGGCCAGGGCTGTCTGTGCCGTGGCATCCACCTTGCCCAGCCGTGCTGGACTGGACTCGTTCCTCAGCTCGGTGGCCGCCTGGGTGTAGGCGGGGGCCAACTGCTGGCAGTGCCCACACCACGGTGCATCTGCAGGCAGGGGATGGCGTTGGCAGTGGGGACAGCTTTGGAGTGTCCCCTGTCCCCAGGGTGGGTTTGTAATGGCTGCATGAGCCTATTGGGCCCCAGTTCATGTGCCTGTTCCAGGTCCCATGTCCCCCACCCCCACCATGTGTCCCTGTCCTGTGTGCCATACCCCTGCTGCTTGTTCCCCAGCCCATGCCTCTGCCAGTGTCCCTGCTCCATGTCTCTGTCCCCATCCCATGCCCTGTCACGTGTCCTGTGCTTCTGCCCCTCTGGCCACAGCCTTGCCTGCCTGTCCCCCCCTCCACCCCAATGCCCATTTGTCTGTTCTGCCCACACTCACAGCTACGGCCAGTATCCCCTGCCCATATTCCCTGCCCAACATCTGCCCCTGCCCACACCCCTGCCCACAGTGGGGACACTCACAGAACTCCACCAGCAGCAGCTGGTGCTCGCTCAAGGCACGGGCAAAGTTGTGCTCATGGAGCACCAGGACATTGTCCTCCTCTTTGATCTCGTCTGAGAGCACTTCATCCTCTTCCTTCTCCCCTTCCTCCTCTGCCACCACCTCCTCATCCTTCTCCTCGTCCCCCAGCGCAGGGCCCAGCCAGGCCAGCGACAGCACCAGCAGCCAAACCAGCCTGGACCTGCAGCCCCGCATGGTGCCGGTGCAGAAGACGTTTTCCAGGGGGCAGGACGCAGATAAGAGCCCTGGGGCGGGAGGTGCCGGTCCCCTGGGGCTCGTGGCCCTCCGCTACTGGCTGCCCAGCACGGCCGATAAGGCAGCGGGACCAGGTGGCTGTTTTCCAGCCACTCGTCAGCGCAGGGAGACCTGGCCCTGCCAGTGGGATGGGGACAGGGACAGGGGGAGACAGGAAGCAGGGGGACGGGCAGAGGTGACGGGGGCACAGACACACCAGTAAGAGACCAGTCTGTAGGGTTTAATGGCGATGGAAGAGCACAGCCTGCGACCGGGCGGGTACCGGGCACGGCACCACCACGGCGGGGTCACAGCCCCGGCCCCAGCAATGGGGACGCTGTGAGGACCAGGCGGGCGTTGAGATTTAAAAAAAAAGAGCAATTAAAAATAACTTTGGTTGCGAAGACCACGACCACGGGCGCCCACTCGCTAAGGGACCCCCCTCAACCCTTGACGCGACTGGGGCAAGCGCGGCGGTGCCGGCGAGGGGTCCCCCGGGATGGCGGCACCGCGACCCCGAGCTGGCGGGAAGAACCGGGGTGCGGAGGGGGGGGTCAGTCCTCCCAGTCCTTCTTTATGCAGAGCCCCCACTCCCAGGAGAGGTGCTCCGTCTTGTCGTCGTCGGTGACGAGGGAGCGGACGCGGTAGGAGCCCCGTGCCAGCCATCCCCGCGGCGCCTCCTCCGCCGGCGTCACCACCTCGTACTCCTCGGCCCGCGGCGCGTAGCTGCCCACCATGAAGACGTCGCGATCCACTGGGCGAGAAGGGGAGAGGAGGGACGGGTGAGTCGGGCCAGGATGGCACTGCCCCCCCCAGCCCGGCCCCGCAGCCCCCCGGCCCCACTCACCGGGCCGGCCCCGGCGGTAGGTGAGGTGCAGGCACCGCAGCCCGCAGACGATCTCCCTGTTCACCTGCGGGCAGAGAGCAGGGGTGCCACGGGTGCTGCCCCAGAACGTGGGGCCCTCACCACTCTTGGGCATCCATCCTGACATTCACCACTTCCAGGATCCAGCTCCTTGTCAGGACTGGGCACTGAGGAGCATCGGGGGGGGGGGGGGGGGGGAGGGTACCCCCAAGAGGGGCAGGGACTTGGAGGGGGCAGGGATCTCCCCTCAGGAGGGGGCAGGGATCTCCCCTCAGGAGGGGGCAGGGATCTCCCCTCAGGAGGGGCAGGGACCTCCAGGGACCCCTGGGATAGGCAGGGACCCAAATCAGTGGGACCCCTGGGAGGAGCAGGGACTCTGGGCTGGCAGGAACCCTCAAGAGGAGCAAGGACCCACAGGTGGCAGTCACGCTGGGGACAGCAAGGATTCCCAGGGTGGCAGGGACCCAGGAGGGCAGGAAAATCAGGGTGGGTAGAGACCCTCAGAGGGGCACAGACTCTGTGGGTAAGGGGTGGGAAGCAGACACCCCAAGGCAGCAGGGACCCCAAATGGCAGGGACCCTGTGGCAGGCAGGGACCCATGAGCAGCAGGAGGGACCCTGTGGGGCAGGAACATGTGGGAAAAGGGACCTATGGGGAGCAGAGACCCCTTGGGGTAGGGAATCCAGGGTAGGAAGGCAGGGGCCCTGGATAACCAGGATCCTTTGGGGCAGGGACATGTGGGAAAAGGGACCCACGGGGATCGTGGACCTCATGAAGGACCTCATCAGGCAGGGACCCCGGAGTGTGAGGGCAGGGACCCATGGCACAGGGGACCTCTTGGGGCAGGGACCCTGGGGTGTGAGGGCAGCAGGGCTATGCCCAGCCAGCGGGCACAGGGCACCACACCCCCGGCTCACCTTGAAGGACACCTTCACCCTGTAGTCCACCCCTTCCTTCAGCACAAAGGCCCTGCCCCGCAGCCCCTCCAGGTCTCCTGTGTGGGGAGATGGTCCATGAGCCTGATACCCCTTCCTCCTCCTCCTCCTCCTCTCACAGGTGTCCCCGCAGCTCACCTGTCAGGTCCATGGTGATGGGCCCTGGCGCCTGCTCACACATCAGGGTCAGCCTTGTCACCTGCACGTTGGGCACGCTGGCATCTAGGGACAAACAGCAGGGCCCAGGCCTTACCCACCATGCCCAGCCCACTGAAACCTCCACCCCAGTGAGCTGAGGGGCTGCTCATGCCCCTATAACAGCAGGAAGGGCTGCAGTGTCCCTGGTGGGGTGTTAGAACCAGGAGAGCCGGGCAGCCAGGCAGGGCACAGGAGAACAGGGCATCTCAGGTCACCCCAACACTGGCATCAGTGCTGTTGGGGTAAAATCATGTTTAAAGGACCCAGACACGGGTATGTCCCTGGGTGCACCATTCCCTGTCTCAGGAAGAGACAGAGGGAAAGGAGGCAAAGGAGGAGAATGCAGCATGTGCAGCAAAGGCATCCCTTGGAGTGGGGACTGGTCTGAGTTATCCCACCAGCCCAACCTGCACCCCACCAGCCTGCACACCCCCCAGCTTGCACACACACCATCGTGCACCCCTCACACACCCCACTGGTTTGCACGGACCTCCCCCCCAGCCTGCAGCCCCCCCATGCACCCACGGGTGCCCACCGGGGTGGTGGGCCCATGGAGCCCCCCCAGACCAGGCCAGCACCAGGCTGGGGGGCTGCCGTGGGTGCCATGCGGAGCAGGGGACACCGTCTGGGCACCGGTAGCCGTGCTACTCCGGCCCCCCCGCTGCTCGTTCCTCTCCGTCATCGCCATGAATTTCCCGGTTCCCTGTAGCCGTTCCTATGGAAACTGCGGCGGTGATCCCGTAACCAAGGCAACCGGGGTCCCCGGGCACCGGTACCCTGTCGGCAGGGGATGCCGGGGTCTCTGCGCGGGTGGGGGGCACAGGCAGCGCCCACGGGCGGGATGTGTCCTCCCTGCTGGGGATGCCGCGCGGGTGCTGGGCATTCCCGAGCTCCCTGCAGCCACCGAAGCTGCATCACCCAGCCGGGGTGCCGGGCTGTTGGGGTGCCTGGCTGTTGGGGTTCCGGAGTGCCAGGGTGCACATCCCCAGGAGCAGCCCCCAGCCTTACCCACGGCGGCAGGGATGGCACCCAGCAGCGCCTGCTTGTACTTCCGCAGGCTTTCATCCCCTGGGTCCAGCTCCTGGATCTCCCGCAGGCTCTTCTTCTCCGGCGTCTTGTACGCCAGGGCCACGTCGGCATCCTCCTCCTCCTCCTCCAGCGACAGCGTCACCCCCTCCTTGTCAGCCATGATGTCTGCGGGGGACAGGCAGTGGCAGCCCCGGGGACACCCCGGGGGACACCCCCCATGCCCTGACACAAAGGCGCTGGCGGGCGGGGGGGGCTGAGCTGTGACACGCCATGGATGGATGTGGGCAATCCCCGTGGGGCAGACGAGCTGTTCCCCTGCCCGGAGCAGTGGGGACAGCGCCAGGCTCGGTGTCCCCGGGGCCTGGTGGCACAGCTGAGACCAGAGGTGTTGCCGCCGGCTGCATTTCCGCACGGTCATGGAGCAAAACGAGCTGGTGCCTACGTGGTGTGCTTAGTGCAGGGGGTGCCTGCAGACCCTTGCAGCCCACAGACCCCTTCGGTGTCACACAGAGAGGTCCTTTTCACCACCCTACAGCCCCCTCCAACCCTGCTGGGCAGCCACCAGCCCCATCTCCCACCCCAAACCCAAACCACCAGCAGCTGCAGGGCAAAAAGGCATCTCTGGGGGAAACAGTGGCTCCGGTGCTGCCAGGCTGCTGGGGGGCACAAGGGTGGGGGATGTCCCCACAGCCCCCGACTCTCCCTGCCCACTGCATCGCCTGCACTCCTTGTGATTGCAAGCACTGAGCTCCCCAAAGCCTCTAGAACGCCATCCCTGGGGACATGCTGGGGACACAGCATGGGGCAGGGGCCACCGTGCTCAGCCCTGGGGCCACAGGGCTGCAGGTCCCCAGTGCAGCGTCAGTGACCGGGACACAGAGCAGCAGCCCTGCTGCACTTCTGGGCCCCCCACCACGGCTGCCCCCGACTGTCGCGGCAGCGTGTGGGGGCTCCCAGCCCAGGGATGAACCCACGCGAGGGCTGGCCGGCCCCCCACGGGTGGCAGGGCAGGGTGGCATGCGGGGGGTGCCACAGGCAAGAGGACAGCGGGGGGCTCCCCCGTGGGACTCTCCGGTCCCCCCGGGCCCGGGGTGATGCACCTGGTGCCCGGGGGATGCTCACCTGTTGGGGGGACCCGAAGTGATGCTCTCCCGCCCTCCCCGGGGCAATGCCCCCCGCCGCCCCCGGGCGCTGCCCCCCGGCCGCCGCCGCTCACCTCGGTAGCACAGCGCCAGCCAGAGCAGCTCCAGCAGCTGCCCGCCGGCCTCGCACACGTCCAGGCCGAGCATGGCCGGGCCGGGCCGGGCCCGCCGCCCCCGGGGCCAGGCGGGGTGGCCGCTGGCGGGGCCCGGGGCGCGGCTGTGCCGGTGCCGGCGGCTCCTCCCGCCCGCTGCCGCCGCGCTCGGCGGTGCCGCTGCTCCCCCGCGCTCCCCGCTGCGCTCCCCGGCGCTGCCCGGCGCGGCCGGCGGGGCGGCGGCGGCGGCTCCCGCAGACGCGGCGACTCCGCTGCCCGCCCCCGCCCGCCCCCGCCCCTCGGCGGCTCCAGCCCCGCCGCTCGTGGGCGGCGAGACTGCAGTGAGCTCATCGCCGGGCGCGCCCACCCCGCGCTGCCCGCACCCCGCGAGCATCCCGCCTGCTCCCTCAGTGCACTGCCCGCGCCCCGCCGCAACCCGGGAGCATCCTGTTTGTACCCCCAGTGCACCGCCTGCACCCTGCCCGCACCCCGCGAGCATCCTGCCTGTGCCCTCGGTGCGCTGCCCGCACCCCGCCATCATCCTGTTTGTACCCTCAGTGCACTGCCCGCGCCCTCCCGCAACCCGCGACCATCCTGCCTGTACCCTCAGCGCCCTGCCCGCGCCCTGCCCGCACCCTGCCCGCACTGCCCGCATCCTGCGAGCACCGTGTCCACAGCGTTCACCACCTGCCCGCCCTGCCCGCAGCCCTGCACGCCGCCAGCACATTGTCCGCGCTGCCCGCACCCCGCGAGCATCCTGCCCGCGCTCTCGGTGCACTGCCCGCGTCCTGCCCGCACCGCCATCCCAACAGCCGCAGGGATGTGTTTCCCATCTCGCCAGCACCGGGTCAGCCGGGGCACCCCC